TTTTGCTGAATTCCGTCCCTAGAAAGCCATGGATTTACGAAATATAGATTAATGAAGAAGCAAACATAAAACTGACAGATTTTTCACTGTACTGATATTTTGTTTTAAAAAAAAGTTTAATAAGGAAGGAAACGTAAATTAACTTTCTATTCAATGTGATGTCCCCCTCTAATGTGAAGGCCCGGGGCAACTGACCTGTATGCCCTTGCCTTAGTCAGGCTCTGTCTGTACTTTGCAATTGGACATCACCATTGATGATTCAGCCATGTCTTTGCTAATTGATAAACTTTGGGATTTGATTGGAAAATTCTCACTTCATGTCATCAATTCTCGTTTCATGTTATCAATTCTCACAATAATGCAGAATGTGAGAGAATATTTAGCAAACCAAGACCAAAAATAAGTTCTTGTCAAATGAAACACTTGAGTCAATTTTGATTGCTAAATCTAGCCTATTTGGAAACTACCATAAGCAGAAATTTGAGCCCACTTTTCTGAAATCTGCAACTGTTAATTATTGAGAATGTTCTTTTAAATTATGAGAATATTTATTAATGAAAGAATTATTTTTAAATGTGTTTATTTTATTTCCTTAAATTCTGATTGAAATTTTCGAATTTTATTTTGCAAAATTGTTTTTATCATAAGTAATAACATGTGTTACTTTAATAATATAATTGGATACTCATCTTTTGGATGGGTTGTTGGTGTATTTGTCAGGTAATTTTTAAATAACTTGCCGAGAGGTAGTTTCCAGATTTTTTAGTTTTGTAGGTTGGAAAGTCTGGGAATGTTTAGCATGGTGGCAATTTCACGCGGTTTTATGCTCTGATTGTCTCTAATGATTGCATTCAGACGGTCAAATGTGCAGCAATGCCCTTGCAGTATTCATCAGTGCGTCCAGCTTCAAATTCTTCACACCACTTAACAATACCTTGCTGAGAAATTGCACACTCACCATATACAGCAGTGATTTCGCAATGAAAGTCCGTGCAACGAATCCGTTTGGCCCCTAAAAATCTGATTGTTGCCCTTTTCCAAATGACGCACCATTCTGTATAGCCTAGGCCTGCTTTACACACAAAACAAGAGGGAGGAAAAAACGAACTGTCTGAGCAATTACTGCCCCTTCCTCTGCAATGTCCAAGATTATGACACACAGCAGCGCTCTTGCAACGACTTGGTGCAACTTACTTTTTAATCTGCCCTCGTATATGTATACTGTTTCAAAAATACTTTGATAAATTTTATTAATGTTACTACACGTTATTACTTTGAGAATATAAGTGAATACTCATTTTTATAATGGGTTCTTGGTGTATTTGTCTCTTATAATAAATAACTTCATTTTTTAAACTTTTTTTTGCCGAGAGGAAGTTTCCTGATTTTTTAGTTTTGTAGGTTGGCGTTACATTTAAACACACTGAAATGATTGTTAAAATCCTTTAGTCGAAAGGAATGCACATGAATGGACTCAAATCTAAATATCAAGTTCTGTGTACACTATCGCTGCTAACGTAGATGGTGATAGTGTATACACAGAACTAAAAATCAAATTGAAGTGCTCAGAGATGATTGTGCCTGGGAAAAAAATCCGGATTTCCCACTCTAACCGAGATTCGGAAATCCAAGATCCAGAAGTTTCAAGAAATCATCGATGATATTTATGTATAAAAAATCTTGTTTATTTTATTTAAAAATATTAGAGCTAGAAATTATACTTGGCATCTCGATCATTTGTAAATATTTTTTTGGTGGAATAATAAATGCGATTAGAGATAGAAGTAAACTTATACAAAATTACTAATTTAAATTATGCTGCATATAAGTTATTCAGAATTTCATGTGTTGAAAATATCAATGATTTAAATTAATTAAGACATTAATTTTTTTACTTAAGAAATTTTCAGGATTTTTGAGTTGGGCTCAGCATTACCCCTGAGTGCTAACTGCTAATGCCTTTAGCTAAAATGTACTCTGACCTGAAAATCAGGTTCAAGTATTTACAGCTAATTATGCAGATGTTGACTATGAACATAGATCTAGGAATCAGATTATACTACTGGTAGGTACTTTATTTACGTCTCACTAGAGCTGTACAATGGGCTATTGGCGACGGTCTGGGATGCATCCCTAAGGATGATCTGAAGACGTGCCATCGTAATTTTTATGTGCAAAAACTCGACAGCAAGATACAAATTTTTGTACATTACGTGTTTTATATAATTTTTAAGTAAATGACCCACCAATAAAGAATCACATTTATAGTAACGAATTTAAGAAAAAACTTAGTTCCTACATGAATCGCGATAATGGATTTTAAAATCCTGTGAATATGAATCGTGATATTGGATGATAAGAGCACAAAGATACAAATCGCGATATTGGATTTTTAAATTGCGTATATATGAATTGCGATGCATGATTTTTGGATCGCATGAATACAAATCGCGATGTACGATTCTTAAATCACTTATAAATACGAAAATCGATGTTTGATATTACAAACGCATGAATTCGAATAACATTGGATTTTGAACTTTAGTAAGTACAAATCGCGATAATGGATCTTAATAACGCGTAAATACGAATCGCGATGATTTTGAAAGAGCTTAAATACTAATTGCGATTTCGGATTTTTAAATCAGGGAATACGAATCGCGATGTACGATTTTTAAATCGAACGAATACGATTTGCATTGTGTTACTTTTAAATAAGGTAAATGTGAAAATCGATGTTTGATATTAAAATAGCGTATAATATGAATATTAGCGGATTCTGGCGTAGATTCAAAAATATTAAAAACAGCAAAAATCAAATTGGAGTAAGAATCACATGTATTAAAACATTTCAGATTGCGAAACTTTGTTAAAATTCGGTACTGTGTGAAGGATGATACGAAAAACCCGGAATACAATCACTCCTGTTACTGACCGCAATGAGATATGCTGGCCTCAGTGTTTTAACGTGAACCGTGTCTTTACGATTAGTCCACTTCGGAGAGACTGTATTACTGAGTGTCAATGTTAACATTGTATGAGGAGATGGAAATTATTGATGGCAATAGACAAAATTGTGGCTGTGTTTCACTTTGACCCATTTGAATATCAAGTACTTTTCAAATTCTTTTGTTATAAATCGTAAAAAAAGTTGTCGAAACATGTTTTATTTCATTGATTTTTTAACGAAAAATATTATAACTTGGACTGTTAATCTGATGTTTATTCATCTAAATAGTGTATTGATGTTCCATCAAATAGGGTGCAGGTGCCCTCTTTGTCTACATGTAGAATTACGTTGTAGTTCAACTAAACACAGTCAAGGAAACTCAAGTAAAATAGAATTATATACAACATGTTCCACAAAATCATTTGTGGGCTTACACAATAGCCTATTTTAAAAGACTTATATGTACAAATATTGTGTTCTTAGATAATCAGGGTTGCAAAAAACCCAACCAGGGAGGGTTTTATTAGGGTTTTTCAAAAGAGAGGGCAGGGATAAGTACCTTATTTTAAAAAAAGCTTATTTTAATATTAATAATTAGATTTAATTTTATGAGCTGACTTAACATATAAGTAATTAAAGTGTAATTAATACAAATAAATGGGTGCAAAAGTCTGAATAAAGTTTCTTCTGACATCACGATACAAAATGTTACTCACATACATCACACATTTCAAACTTATTTCAACACAGGATTACTTTTTATTTATATTTTAATCTTAAAAAATATTTGAGGAAATTTTTTTTTTGTGCATAGAAAGCTAATGAAAGGCACTGACTAATCAATGGCCATACAGTCAAATCTAGCCAGCAAGGTGACTGACTCTCCAGCTTCCAAACACATTTTTGTTCACCATAGATTTAATTTTTTAGGCTTTACTACAGATATATTTCAATAGAATAGCAAAGGATAAAAAAGAAATCAATTTCAGAAAAACACAGTAAAAGGTGGGTTTTACCAACCCTGGGTGGGATTTTTGCAACCCTGTAGATAATTATCCTTGTCACTACAAAATAACTAGTGTTTCTGAATTACTAGGTATGAGTTACGAAGAGGAACTTTTTATGAATTCCCACTTTCTGTCTCATATTTATAATGTGTTCTTCACTCCAAGGACGTAGGTAAGGGGGGTGTTCAGGGTGTTCAAACACCCCCCATTGTACAAAGCAGTTTTTCTTTTTTTTTTATACTATAGATAATTTTTCCTTAATTTTNGTAGCGTGAAAATATCTTTTGTGATGTAACTCTTTCAAAAGTACATAAAAATGGTTGCCAGCAGGTGTGTACATGTAGATTTATTAAATACACCTTGTGCGCCACCTAGGAATCAAATCTAGAACCCGACACTCGAAATTTTTGCTCTGTTACAATCGTACCCTGTTACAATTGACCCCACTCTCCCCTACAAATCGCGATAATGGATTTTAAAAACGCGTAAATACGAATCGCAATGATTTTGAAAGCGCTTAAATACTAATTGCGATTTTGGATTTTTAAATCAGAGAATACGAATCGCGATGTACGATTTTTAAATCGAACGAATACGATTTGCATTGTGTTACTTTTAAATAAGGTAAATGTGAAAATCGAAATTTGATATTAAAATAGCGTAGATATGAATATTAGCGGATTCTGGCGTAGGTTCAAATATTAAAAACAGCAAAAATCAAATTGGAGTAAGAATCACATGTATGATAACATTTTAGATTGCGAAACTCTGTTAAAGTTCGGTACTCTGTGAAGGATGATACGAAAAACCCAGAATACAATCACTCCTGTTACTGACCGCAATGCTTGACCTCAGTGTTTTACCGTGAACCGTGTCTTTACGATTAGTCCACTTAGGGATGACTGTATTACTGAGTCTCAATGTTAACATTGTATGAGGAGATGGAAGTTATTGATGGCAATAGTCAAAATTGTGGCTGTGTTTCATTTTGACCCATTTGTATATCAAGTACTTTTCAAATTCTTTTGTTTTAAATCATAAAAAAGTTGTCGAAACATGTTTTATTTCATTAATTTTTTAATGATAAACATTATAACTTGGACTGTTAATCTGATGTTTATTCATCTAAATAGTGTATTGATGTAGGTCAAGTTTCCATCAAATAGGGTGCAGGTGTCCCCTCTTAGTCGGTATCTACATGTTGAATTACATTGCAGTTTAACTACTAAACACAGTCAAGGAAACTCAAGTAAAATAGAATTATATACAACATATTCCACAAAATCATTTGTGGATTTACACAATAGCCTATTTTAAGACTTATAATATATACAAGTGTCCTTAGATAATCATGGTTGCAAAAAACCCAACCAGGGAGGGTTTCATTGCTTTTTTTCAAAAGAGAGGGCAGGGATAAGTACCTTATTTTTAAAAAAAAGCTTATTTTAATATTAATAATTAGATTTAATTTTTGAACTGACTTCACATATAAGTAATTAAAGTTTAATTAATACAAATAAATGGGTGCAAAAGTCTGAATAAAGTTTCTTCTGACATCACGATACAAAATGCTATATGTACTCACATACATCACGCATTTGAAACTTATTTTAACACAGGATTACTTTTTATTTATATTTTAATCTTAAAAAATATTTGAGCAATTTTTTTTTTTTTTGCATAGAAAGCTAATCAAAGGCACTGACTAATCAATGGCCATACAGTCAAATCTAGCCAGTAAGGTGACTGACTCTCCAGTTTCCAAACACATTTTTGTTCACCATAGATTTAATTTTTTAGGCTAGACTACAGATATATTTCAATAGAATAGCAAAGGATAAAAAAGAAATCAATTTTAGAAAAAACACAGTAAAAGGTGGGTTTCACCAACCCTGGGTGGGATTTTTGCAACCCTGTAGATAATTATCTTTGTCACTGTGCATCTACAAAATAACTAGTGTTTCTGAATTACTAGGTATGAGTTACGAAGAGGAATTTTTTATGAATTCCCACTTTCTGTCTCATATTTATAATGTGTTCTTCACTCTAAAGCATTATTTGTTCCAATTATACAAAGGTTGACATTGTTATCAACTGTATTGTGGCACATACATGCTCTGTTGTGGCTGATGTCCTGTAGGTTGTCGGACATCATTCGCGGGAGGCCAACGGTAGGGCTGTGACTGGTAATTATTGAACTGGTTATTTGAAAGAGAACCACCACCTTGCTGATATCGACTTAGAGTCTCCTTGGGGAACGAATTATTATTCTGAATTTTACTAGGATTGTAATTTTTAAAGTCTGGGTGTTGTGGCCATCTATGGTAAAATTGATGCTGTATTGGAGCCTGACGAGGTACTAATTCAGTGTTAGTAAACAGTACTTTAGTTTGAGGTATTTCTGCTGCATTGTATGTTTTTGCAGTGTTATGACGGAGAGGAACTTTCATAAAATCCTTAGTTACTGCTTGCAACTGATTATATTTGAGCTCATTGTTTCTCAAAGGAAGAACTCTTTCGAGATTACCGGTTATTGGCTTTTCGGGATTGTACCGAGGGGCGTTATTTTCCAGTGGAGGCACTCTTTCGAAATTTCTTGTGATCAGTTTCTCTTGATTGTATCGAGGATCATTATTTTCTAGTGGAGGCACTCTTTCAAAATTTCTTGTGATCAGTTTTTCTGGATTGTATCGAGCATCATCATTTTCTAGTGGAGGCACTCTTTCATAATTTCTCGTGATCGGTTTCTCTCGATTGTATTGAGGTTCATTATATTCCAGTGGAGTGATTCTATCAGAATTGCTAGCTCTTGTTTTCTCATGATTGTAATAGGGTCGACTGTTTTCTAGTGGAGGGACTCTTTCGTAATCGCTTATTCGTGTGCTCCTGGGTTCTTTATTTCCTAAAGCAGAAGCCCTTCCTTCATAATGTCCTTCATCGTAAGACTCGTGGTGTGGTTGTGTGTGCTGATCTTGGGAGTAATAGTGAGGAGCATCATCGCCTCCATTTTTCTTCTTCCTATAGGATTGTCTGTCATCATGAGATTCGTGTTGCTCCTCATGCTTCTTGTTGCCATGGTGATGCTTTGAGGCATGACTGCCAGCCTCATACTTTCCATCATCGTAACCATCATACCCATCTTTTCCCCATTCATGTTTCTCATCGCCAGCATCAAAATTTTTATTTTTTCCTTCCTGCTTGAATCCTTTTGAAAATTTCCCTCCCTGTAGTTGCCTATGTTCGTGATGGTCGTCGTAGTCGTGATGATGGTCAGTGTCCAAAAATTCATCGTGAAATGTTTTATGGTCTCCGTATTCTTCCTTGTGATATGTGTTCTTAAAACCATGCAGTTTGTGCCCTTTACTCTTCTCTTTGTGTTTTCCCAATTTGTGTTCTTTGAGGGCTTCTGCACCAAACTTTTCACCCGCATCATGCTGCTTCACATTTTCCAACTCCTTATTGTCGGCTACGTTCCCCTTGTGGTGCTTGTTGTAAGTCGACCCTCCTGTCAAAATAAGAACAAAATATTAGGAACAGATAAGTTTCTCTATAAGAAAACTGATTTCTATTGATAGATTTATTTTTTTTAATAAAAATGGTTTTGAGTCTGTAAATTAAGATGTTTAAAATTAATTTCAGATACTAATTATATTAGTTTATATATTAATTATGTATGTTACATATATTCCGGCACCAGGCGATTCATAATCATTTATTATGACATATTCATGAAGAGTGACACAAAAATTCATCCAAGTGACACAAAATCGAAGTGTTCCTCAATAAAAGTTAGGAGAAATCTTGCAATATAAATCTGTAAAAATGTTTTGTTTCAAGAAAAAAGGGAAAAACCGAGTAATTATAATTGATTTATTAAATAGGTTGCAGGATAAGTCTATCCCATGAGTTAATCAGAGGGATAAATGTTAACATGTAAATGAATGCATACTTGAACTAAAAATAGATTAAAACACAGGATGCGAATACTAAAGTGTGGAGAAATCCGGGTTGCAAAAACCCACCTACGCAGTAAAACCCCAGATGCTTTTACTGTGAAAAACCCACCCTAAAGTGGGTTTTACTAGAATTGATTTCTTACTTATCCTCTGTTACATTAAAGAGCTATTCTATTGAAATATAATAGTAATATAATGTAAATATAATGCAGTCTAGCCTAAAAAATGAACCTATGGTGAACAAACTGTGTTCAGAGACTGGAGAGTCACCTTGCTGGCTAGATTTGACTGTATGGCCATTGATTATTCAGTGCCTTTGATTCGCTTTCTACGGGAGAAAAAAAAATTCCCTCAATTATTTTTTAAGACTAAAATATAAATAAAAAGTAATACTGTGTGAAAATAAGTTTCAAATGCGTGATATATGATGTACATATAACATTTTATATCGTGATGTCAGAAGAGACTTTTTCCAGACTTTTGCACCAATTTATTTGTATTAATTATTAATTGCACTTTAATTATTTATATGTTACGTCAATTCATAAAATTAAATCTAATTATTAATATTAAAATAAGCTTTTTTAAAATAAGGTACTTATTCCTGCCTTCTCTTTTGACAAAAAAAAACAAAAAAAAAAACAGAAAAGCCTAATAAAACTTACCCAGGTTAGGTTTTTTCTGGAAAAACCTACATACAGGACCCGTGCTAAAGACCTCAAAATACTAGCCAGTAAATTAGCTAAATTTCAAAAGTCTCGAAGAAAACAAATCGTAAAAAAATTTTGGTTATTTTTTTTCCCCCTGAGAAATTTTTAAGTCAAAATACAAGTTCATTATAAATTGAATTATTTTAAAATTTCAATCAAAATCAAGAGNAAAAAAAAAAGCCTATTAAAACTTACCCAGGTTAGGTTTTTTCTGGAAAAACCTACATACAGGATCCGCGCTAAAGACCTCAAAATACTAGCCAGTAAATTAGCCAAATTTTAAAAGTCTTGAAGAAAACAAATCGTAAAAAAATTTTGGTTAATTTTTTTTCCCTTAGAAATTTTTAAGTCAAAATACAAGTTCATTATAAATTGAATTATTTTAAAATTTCAATCAAAATCAAGAGTCATTCTACAGAGTCAGTGGCGTAGTTTGGAGGGAATTACGCCTTCTCACATATATATAATTAAACATTTAAGATATAAGTAAGCTAGCAAATAGATCATATTCACATATCTTTTAATTCTTGATTTATTGCGGTTTAAAATTTTGTTTGAAACTTTAAATTATCAATTAATTTGTCAAATTTAATACGTCAAAATGCTATAATGTTGCTACTACTAAGAAGTTTCTTTCTCAACGGCCGTACAAGTTTGTAGTTATACACCGAAGAGCTATTACATTATGAGCACCCTGCTAATAACATGTAGGACCACCTTTAGCCCTCAAAACTGCTAGCACCCACCGTGGCATTGATTCCACAAGGTGCTGATAGGTAGTCTGAGGTATCTGGTACCAAGCGCTCACCAACTGGTCCCGAAATTCCCTCACATTGCGAAGAGGTAGCGTGGCAGCACGAATTTGCTTTTCCAAGTAGGAAAACAAATGCTCTACTGGATTGAGGTCAGGTGAATTTGGGGGCCAAGACATGACTTGAAAGTCACTGGAATGTTCCTCGAGCCAATCCATGACGATTCGACCCTTATGACATGGTACATTATCCTGTTGGTAAACACAGGAACATCCCCCGCAGGAAAAACTGTTGCCATGAATGGGTGAACCTGGTCTGCAACTATGTTCAAGTAGCTTACAGACGTCAGGGATTGTTCTATGAGGATTGTGGGTCCTAATGAGCCCCATGAAAACATTGTTCCTGGGCGAGAAACCATGAAAACCTGGGCGAGCTCATTGTTATGGATGGAGGATGGTCCTGAAGCAACATTTGATATTTTCTTAGATTCCGTTTATCTTTTAAATAAACATATTTCATTTTAAATAAAGATCTTCATTTAAGTTTTTTTTATATTTTTTAATAACAGAATTTTTACTGGCACAACTATAGTTATTCCAAAAAAAAAAGGGATCACAGTAGAAGATAAGTTATTTGAATAATTTAATTCCGTTTGATTGGCATTATATAGTACGAGGAGCATCCAGAAAGTAAGTTTCCCGAATTTAAAAAAAAAAAGAACTCACACTTTCAGGATCATATTTATTGGCAACAAGTACAGCAATGTTTAAGCTATTTTTCAATTTAGCCATCACAAGAATTGAGACACTTGTCGTATCGTGGGATCGACTTTTGTATCCCTCTGTCGCAGGTCACTGCCGCCTGTGAATGGAACCAGCGTGTTTCAGACGTCTACTGTTACTGTAAAACAATGCGGAAATTGTGACTTGCCATTCAGAACAAGAGCCGTGGAATGTTTACTGCAGGTGTTGCGCTCCTCCATGACAAGGCTTGCCCACATACGGCATCACACACAGCAGCTGTTTTGACGGAATTTGGTTGGGAGTTGTTTGATCATCCACCCTACAGCCCTGATATTGCTCCAAGCTATTTTCACGTTTTCTTGCAGCTCAAGAAATTCTTGTCCTCCGGTGAGCGTTTTGGCTACAACGAAGAGCTGAAGACGTCTGTCACACGTTGGTTCCATTCATAGGCGGCAGAGTTCTATCCAGAGGGATACAAAAGTTGATTCCACGATACGACAAGTGTCTCAATTCTGGTGGTGGCTATGTTGAAAAATAGCTGAAACATTGCTGTACTTGTTGCCAATAAATATGTTCCTGAAAGTGTGAGTTCTTTTTTTTTTATAAATTAGGGAAACTTATTTTTTGGATGCGCCTCGTACATGGTGGGTAGCGTTTTTAAAAAGTGCTTACTTTCGATTTTTAAAAGCTTTTAAAGTTGCTTTTGCCATTGGGTGTATTTAAAAAGTGCTTATTTTCCCTTTTCGAAAATGAGAATTTTTTTTTTCATTACGGTGTCGATTTTTGCCGCGTATTATGCAAAAGCGTGCTTTTTACATTATTCTGTCCACATTTTCCCAATTCATTCAACAACAATCCAGTTCGGCTTACCGTCGGTCTATAACGTATGAAAGCGCCAATCATTTTACATGTTTGATGAAATACTTCCGTGTTTGCACGTGCGACTCTGCTGCATTTTGCAAGATACTCTCAATTTCAGGCACCATTTTTCACCCTCTGAAATCGAACTGAAAAAACTCTAGATCATTTTATAATGGCTAATGTAATCAAGTAAAGAATTCTTTGTCAGAAACTAGTTATTTTGTCATGATCATGTAAAGTCTTTGAAAATTATTTTGCACTTTGTTAACGTACATAGTGCTTAAAAATATTTTTTGAGTGCTAAAAGGTGCTTATTTTTTGTTGAAAGATTTGGCTACGCACCCTGTACTATTCAAATAACGAAATTCTGGCGAAATACGCTCATTGCCAGCTGAATGCAAGTGGTTATACTACATATATCATTGAAAAATGATAATCTATAAAGACAAAATCTAAGTTAAATTTTCTTATTTTAGCAATCATTTCAAATTTACTTAGCAAATACTTACACCCATTTACTTAGCAAATTCATCGGCTTTGACTTCAAGCATTTGTTGACTTGAAGCATACTCGAAGATTGCGGCTTCTTTGAATGCTGAACCCATTCAATAATAAAGCAAACAAGAATACTGCTTATTGCTACACTTCATCAGAGATGATTGTGCTCCGGAAAAAATTTGGACTTCCGGATTTTTCGGTAAACGCGATCCAGAAGTTTCCAGAAATCCGAGGTCCAAAAGTTTCTAGAAATTATTGATCACATTTATGCATTAAAATTTTTTTTTATGCTTTATTTAGAAATATCAGAACTCGAATTTATACTTGGCATCTCTTTCATTTGTAAATATTTTTTGTAGTAGAATAATAAATGTGATTAGAGATAAAAGTAAACTTATGCATAATTATTAATTTAAATTATGCTGCATATAATTCATTTAGAATTTCATGCTTTGAATATCAATGATTTAAATTTATAAAGACGTTAATTTTTTGCTATACGCAATTAATGATTTTATTGGAGAAATTTTCAGGATTTTTGAGTTGGGTTCACAATCACCCCTGTTTCATGCTATAGATGATTTTAAAAATCGGTATATGTCTTTATTTCGAAGTAGAAATTTCAAAAATATTACAACAAAAAAAAATGAAGAAAATAAATCAGTCGAAGACAGAAAAAGGTTCATGATATCCAACTTCCTCTCTTTTTGTTGGTTCACTATATCCACAAAAAATAACATTATACGTGTGTAGCAAGACACGGGAGCGAACATTTCGTTCACTATATCCGGGAGTTCACTATAAACCGTGTTCAATATAGCGGTGTTTGGCAGTATTAAGATTTACACTTCATTCGTCCAAATCCGAACAAAAGTTATTCCGGAGGGCTTTTTTTTTTTTAATGTTCTGTATTTACTACAAATAATTCTTTTAAGAATTTTTTTTTTGTACGTACTCCTAATTGTTTTAAAAGTTTATTTACCTTGGCTGAAGTCCTGTTTGACGCCTCTTTCATTGTACATGTCTGAGGAGTGATCCTCAGTGACGTCACCCAGATTCTCATTCCCCAGTTCATCTGCCCTGAAAGAATTGGCGCTCACTTCATTCGCCACTTCTTCTTCTGGATGATCCTCCAAGTGAAGGGATTCCGATGGTTCCTCTTCAGATCGAGCAACCAACAGCAGGCTTAGTAATAATAACAACACAGAGATCTAAAAGAACAAGAACTGAATAAATCTATTACACGTTTTCACTTCTTGGTAGAAAGTTTGACAAATTTTGCTATGTGCGGAACTGCAGACGTGTTTTGTACAATTGTATATACGATAGTTTAGGCGTGCACAATCTACGCCCCGCCAACCCTTCATGCGCGGCCCTCGGCCGCAATCTGAACAAAATGAAAAGAAAAAAAAAATTAATTAAAAAAATTTTTTTTTTGAAAAATAAAAAAACATTTGGAAAATTGAAATATGCGCATTTAAGTTTTTGACGCAGCCAATTTCAATCGATGTAGTTTTCGATCGCTTTTTTTTTTTATGGTTAACTGTACGGAGTTAGTAGCACAGTTTTGAAAATCCAAATACTCTTAATACATCATTATTACGATGCACGGATTTCGAATTTCAGTTATTACTTTCGACTCTCTTTGTGTGCAGCGATTTCATCGTAAATCCAATGACTTTTCGGTAGCTATTTCACGTAGTTTCTGAAATCGCGATTTTTGAAAGTTAAGAAACGCTTTATTTGTGCAAACTTCATGAAAAATCTAAATGACTTCTGGTGCTTTATCGGCAGATATTGCTACGCATTTTCGCATGGTTTTTAAAACTTTGATATTTTAGCGCAATATTGTTACGAATCTGATTTAAAGAATCGCTCATTTAGATAACCATTTTTTAACGTGGTTTATTTGTACCAATTTTTCGCAAATCAAAATATTTTTCAATCGTTATTTTGGCAGTTATTATTACACATTTCTACGAGGCTTTGGAAGTCCCAATATTTTTTATACGGTATTGCAATACTTTAATTTTGAATTCCGCATTTAAATACATAAAATTTTAACGCACTTTATTTACGCCAATTTCATCGTAAATATAAAGGGATTCTGGTAATATCTTTGGTAGTTATTACTACACTTTTCCCCGTGATTCAAAAAATTTTTATATTTTTAATGCCATAATTTGACAGTACGCGAGATTTGAATCGCTCATTAAAATAATTACTTTTAAGGTGCTCTATTTGTGCCGATTTTAACATAAATATAAGAGGTTTTTCGAACGTGTTTTTTTTTCGAGATATTGCTACATTTTTACTGGTGATTTAGAATATCCTGATATTTTAACACAATGTTAAGATTCATAAAATTCGATTCTGCTTTAAAATTTTTTTTGAAACTTAAAAAGTAATTACGTATCATAGCAAAATCAATCACTTCCTGAAGAGAGATGAGAAAGAAAAAAAAGACGAGTTGCGTACATTTATATTAAATGTGGTCCCTTTTGCAAAAAAATAATTCAAAACACGTGCATATTTCTTTAGTCCCATGAACAAGTGCAAGTTTAACAACACACACCCAACCTATTAATTTTGTTGTCACATGATTTAAAAACCACACATCTCAATTCGTATTCACGCGATTTAAAAATCAAGCATTGCGTTTTTTATTTAAGCAATTTAAAAATCACGCAAAGCACTGGGCATTCAAGCAATTAAAAAAATAATACATCGCTATTTGTATTCACGCGATTCAAAAATCTGGAAAGGAAGAATACCATCTAGGACAAATTCCAAAACTGATTAAGTTATTTGCCCTAAGTTTAATACTACCCACAACAACAGCTTCTGTCGAAAGACTGTTTTCCAGGATAAATTTGAACTGTTCAAAATTACAGAACAGTCTTTAAACAAAATCATTAAATTGTATTTAATGGCTCGAAAAAGCTATCACATGATCAAGTGAATAAAATCCCAATATTTAAAAATTTTGCGAATTACAGGATAACCATTAAGAAATTTTTTAACCATTTTCTATATACTAGGACCATTTCATATCATTCATGATTATATGCTGGGAAATGATTTGTATATCATTAAATTTTAACTGTAAAAAATGTAATCAAAATAAGTTTCGGAAAGTAATGTAAATGCTACTAATTGTTAATGTATAAGTGTATTAATTGTAAATAGTAAGTGTCATGTTAAAAAATTATGAAATAAAGTTGATAAATAAAATATAAGTTGTTAATAGTTTTTTGTAATTAAGGGAAATAGTTCCTTCAAAATTAATGTTTTCCTTCCTTTCCTCTCTCTGCCCCTGCTTCTTATAATTAATTTAAATTAAATGTTTTAAAGTTTAAGTATATATTCCCTACTATATGGTAAATCTTATTTTCTGCTGAAGGGGTTTCAATTTTAATCCTATAAACTTTCTTCAAATCAAAGTATTTAACTTCCATTTATTTTAATAACTAGAATATTTATTTTTTAAATTTAATTCTATGAACAAATTTCTTAAAGTTAACATTGATTTTTTAATGGACTTTTGTATTATGCAATATGATTAAAAAAAAACATGAATTTTCCCGTAGTTTTTTAATTATTTCAATTTATCAAAATTTTTTTCTGATAAATTGATTCGGATTTTCGGATTCTGTTTTTTCTTCTTAAGTTATCAACTTAAAAGGTTCTAATTTTAAACATTTTTAAAGTAATTCATTTTATGCAAAGATATTACAAGGTTAACTTACAAAAAGAATTTAGTGCCTAGAACAATGATATTTTTATAACAATTACTACCTACAATAGCTGTGAATATGTCTGTCTAAATATTTTGTCATGCGGCCCTTAATTGGTCAATCTGCTGTGCATGTGGCCCTTCACTCAAAAATGTCATGCACTCCTACGATAGTCGATGAATTTACATAGAAAAAAAAAGAGTAAAAAAAAAATGGCATTCGCGAGCTGAAGTGAAAGTAATGCAGATGATTTTTCAGATGATGATGATGTGAACATATACAAAAATATTTAACTTTTTTCATTTGCCCAAGATCATTTGGGATAGTAAACTGATGGAAAATTACATATTTTTTTACACCTAAAAAAATTTAAATTTCAACTTAGGAATTGTGTATTGTTTTTTTTTTTAGTTCCTTGTATTTATTAATAAAATTAAAAAAAATATTGATTTTTTGTATTTTTTTTTCAAAAAAATTGGTGAGGGAAGCGGTTAATATAAAAAAAATTTAAAATATATATGTTATATATATATATGATTCTAAAAATATTAATTAATATAAAAAAAATTATTCTTTTAAACTCTTTTTTTTTTATCTTCGATTAAGTACTGAATTAAGGTAAATTCAAGGGGGAAAAAAATATTTTTTTTTTATCGCGAACCTTAATTTTGAAGTGATGTTTTATTTTAAAAATATTCCCCCGTTTTCAAAATATATTAACATGACATAACGCATAAAATTGAAACGAATGATTGAGAAGAGTAACTGCCCCCCCCCCACCCATTTTAGTCTTGCATTCACTCTTTGTGAATATTGTTTGCCCTCTCCGCTTCTTTGAAAATGCGAAACTCATTATTTACAATGTCAAACAAGTGGTTTTTCTGGTGTTTTTTTTTTCATTTTTAATAAAACTTTTATTTTAGAGATAACTTTAAGCATAAAGAAAGTCAATCTAAGAAAATATAATCAAAAAACAAAAACCTATAAATACATTTTTCAAATTTATCAATTTAATCATATTTTATTTTATAACCCTTGCTGAACCAAATTTTCAGTTTGCGACCTCCAAAGTTCAACTCCGTGTCCTTGTGATCTTTAAACCAAGCCAGAAAACAAGGGAATTCCTGGATCAGGTATCGGGAGAAACTTACCCTCCTTTGCTTCACATCGAGAGGAACAATACGAACACCTCCCACGATTAGCCTGATGGAAAGAGGACTCTAACCCATGATCCATCTATCACTGAGAATATTTTACTTCAGCACTGTTGTCAGTGCGATCTGGGTACGGAATTCGCATCGACCAGCCATCGCTGTGATTCGAACCTAGGTCACCTTATTGGAAGACGAAACCTCTATTCTCTGAACCACCACGGCTTAAACTAATCACATGTTTTTTAAAAAAAAGAAAAAGCAGGAAATTAATAACTTAGAGAACATAAAATCTGAGTGTCGGCCTATTTCGTCAGTTCTTCGAAAACAAAATGCCCACTTTTTCGCAAAATAAAAAATTATGTATATTTGTATGTATATGTTATCGTCTTTCAATTATGAAACTTATATATTATGTATATATACAGACGGATATGATTTAAAGGTCTTTTTAGATGACCAAAAATAAATTCTCTTTAGAAGTGGCGTGACAATTTGGAAACAAATTCTTGACCTATAACATGAAAGAAAGCTCCTTATTAAAATATCTACGAAGATTTTTCATTGATAAATAAATAAGTGATAGGAATTTTTAAGAAATCGTTTCAATAAATTGAGAAACGCTGGTTTTAAGGGAGTTGAAATCAGAAAATCTTAAGGATCATGAGGTATTTTTCAATTCCTAAAAAGTAATGCAATTATTTAATGAGATCCCTGCAAGTGACGTAGTGTGGGTATCTCGATTCTGATTGGTTGTTGAAAAGTGGCATTTGTTTACGTTAGCAACTGTTCTTTCCATTCTATTTCGTGTACGCCAAGCCCTTCAAAAATCAATTCTTTTTTATATTTTCACTTAACTCAATCTACATATTTTTTACTTGATCCACATATTTATTACATAACTCCAAGACAGACATGTAGTAAACTAATTATGCATCGACGTGCAAGTTGCAGTATGCAAAACAAAATATATTACTGTTACAATAAAATACAAAAACAAATAATAAATCTAAGTTAAGAAAAGACGTAGAAGAGAAAGAATTGTATTGACATAAATTCGATGTGCGATGCTGTATTTAATTAACTTCACGTTAATTAACATTCGAACTTTTGTGGAGAAACTTAGACTGACTTTTGCTAATAAACGATCAGCCGATGCTGACGTCACATGTGTGGGTATACATGGTTATCAAAGGATGACAGAAATAAACACAAGATGAGACTTTGCCTTGTTTTCCCCGAATATAGAAATTCGAGTAATAAAGGAAATTTTGTTTCAATTTAAGAAAAACTGAAACTTTTCTTTTTGGGTGTTAATTTTTT